TTAGACGCAAATAATTTATACAGCTGGGCCATGAGTCAGCCTTTGCCTTTTAACCCTAACTTTCCTCAGTCCTCCAACAGGTGAAGGATTGAGGAGTGTTAGGGTTAAAGATTTCAGTTTGATTTAGGACGTGACTAAATTTACCGCAGAGTACATCTCGAAAATTTATTCAAGAGCGTCAAAAGGTTATATTCTCGAGGTGACATTAGATTATCCGTAGCACTTACACGATTTACACAACGACTTCCCACTAGCCCCTGAAAATATATCGATCCCAAATGAATGGCTGTCAGCGTATCAAAGGAATTTAATGGCAAACGACGAGCAAATTACTTCAATAGATAAACTCGTATCGACTTAAAACACTAAAAATAAATATGTGGTTCATTATCGAACTTTACAGAAATATTTAGAACTCGGTCTAGAATTAAAACAGGTGCCTCGTGTCTTGTCTTTTAAACAGGCGCCTTGGATGAAAAATTATATCAATAAAAATACTGAGTTATACAAATTAGCAAGTCCGATTTTGAGAAGAATTTCTTCAAATTGATGAATAACTCGGTTTTTGGCAAGACTATGGAAAATGTGTGTTATCGAATAAGTGGTTACTTATTGAGAGATTTGCAAGATGCCAAAAAATACCAGAAGCTAACCGAACTATAAGGCGACTACGCCGTTTTAAGAGTGCGAGCTTTCATTCGTTGAAATGTAACGCATAAAAACAAATTTAAATAAACCAATTTATTGTGGCGTGAGCGTATTAGATTTATCCAAAACTTTAATGTACTATTTCTATTGCAATACGTTAAAAGGTGATTTTGGTTCAAATGTGTGTCTTTTATACACTGATACGGATTCTTTATTCGTCCAAATTCAAACCGACAATTTAAACAAGTACCTACGCAAAAAGCGTAAATTATTTGACTTAAGTAATTATCCACAGGATCATAAACTTTACGACCCCAAAAACAAAAAGGTCATTGGCAAGATGAAAGATGAATTTGGGGGCCAACCAATTTCAGAGGTCATTTGCATACATCCAAAGATTTACTCGCTTTTAACGAATCGGCAAAATTTGAAAAAGGCGAAAGGCGTGACAAAAGTGGTCACCGAGAAACAGTTAACCCACGAGGCGTATAAAAGTTGCCTATTTGAGCGGGTGCAACATTTTAATAAACAGCAGTTATTTAGATCAGATAAACATTTCATATTCACGGTGTCGCAAAATAAATTAAGGCTCTCGCCATTAGATACAAAGCGTTATATATTATCAGATGGCATAGATACGTTAGCCACAGGCATTATTTAGCGGATGGTAATTCTTGAAGCTTGAAGTTCTTCTTTGACAAAACTCCTATTTGGCCCGTTTAATAAATAATACAAAGTGGGACCTGTTTTTACTCGCCTGCCATTGACTCGTTTAAACTGGCTGGTGTGTTTGTCAATTTGGTAAACGTCTACAGACCAAACGGAATCTGTTGCCCCTCTGACGGTCCCACCCTCCTGTTCGCCGAGGTAGTAAAGGTACCTAACGACCACGTCTGGAGGTAATTCTCTCTTGCTTGCTCTTGCGGGTGCACTCAGTGTTTGTTTCACTCGGTCTAATTTGATGGCTTCTGCAGGCTCTTTGTCAATTAACCTAGTCTTTTCCTCGTTTGGGGATTCTACAACTTGAGGCAAGCATTTCACCCATTCTACATTTCACTCACCCACCTTTAACATCTCTTGCGCGTATTGATGGCCAAATAAACGTTCGGCCAATGTACGGTAAATCTTTCCACGATTCCCTGCGACCTATGAATGCTTAGCTCGCCCACTCGTGTTTTGTCATTAACTTTTTAAATTTGCCTTTAAACTGATCCTGAGTCTACCATTATAAATTTAGGCCAAGTCAAAGGTGAACTTTCGTAAATTTGTTTCACGGCTTTGGACGTTTGCTCGGCCGTTTTACTGGTCAATGGCTCGGCTTCTGTATAACACGAGCCCACGTCTACAACGGTCAAAGCGTATTTAAAAGTTTTTCTTTTTAACTCGATCCCAAGGCAAGTATGATATATCCATTTGATGCGCGTAATTGGGTTCGACTGATTCTGATTGTAACATCATTGGTCTCGACATGTACGTAGGTGCAGGTAAATAAATTTGCCAAATGGCTTGCCTTTTTTAGCCAGTCTCTAATAACTGACTTGTCTGCGCCCATTTTTTGCGCCAAATGATCGACGGCGCTTTCACCTCACCAGTAGCCTCGAGGACTGTAAAACCGACCAAAGCAGTTCCAGATATAATCCATATAAATTCTTGGATTTTTTTATCCCCGGCAGGCGTGTAAAAATCGGATAACTTAAAATATCTAAAAGACAAATATGGGCTCTGGCTAGATTTCAGGAATTTCGACGATAATTCGGCTTATGGATCGGGTCGGCCGTTAGGCGGAGGTGGCGATATTTCGATTCAAATGGAGCGACAAGCAGAGACGGCAGGACCGTTGACTATGTATGTATTTTTGGTAATGGATGTGCAATTGACGGTGGAAGACGGGAATTTTAAGAGCTTGGTGTATTAAGTCGAGTTTAAATTAAAATGAGTGACAACATGTTTGAATCACCGCATTTCGCGTTAATCGTGGGTAAAACAGGCAGCGGTAAAACAAATTGGATATTAAATCTTTTAGAAACAGAATATAAATTTACGTTTGAGGCGATCATGATTATTTGTCCCACGTTATTTAAGAATAATACTTAGAGCGATTGTGGGTTTATACCGACGATGACGTATATCTTTGCGACTTGTATCGGGAGAAGCCTGAATTAAATGAAGCGATCGATTTATATCAGGAAATTTTTGATGGAATAAATACGTTTTTTTATTATCGACAATTGTGCCTTGGATCAGATTATTAAATATTGCAAAAGATCAAAGAATTGTAATACATGTGCATTGAGTAAGATGGCCTTCAGCGGTAGACACTTGAACCATTCATGCTGGTTATTGAGTCAAAAATTCATCTCAGTGCTCAAAGACTATAGAGAAAACACAGCCTGGACCGCTTTATTCCATTGCAAGGACCGAAATAGTTTTGAACAGTGTTTAACAGAAAATGACGTCGTGCCCGATTGCGAATGGGAAACGATTAAGAAACATTTAGGAGACGTGAAATTCAGTAAACTGATTTTAAACACTGAACCGCCCGTAAATTATTTTATTCAATAAAACTGATAAAATGTATTACTATAATATTGAATTAAGATATTGACTAAATTTTGTAACAGGTGCCAAAAGGAAAAAACATTCAAATTTTTTAAAGTTAAAGACAGTGGTAAAATATGCACGGGGTGTATTAGCTGTAACCCGTTGGCAAAAATTTCCAATGACTGCTACAATTAAAGTTACAATTGGCAAGTGGCTTCACGATTGCCACTATGAAGATAAAAAACACAACCGATTTGACCCTGACCATTTTATAGACACAGGTTAATTGAGGATTACCCGCTTTGTCCATATGAAGATTGCCAGGTTCAAATGCAGTTCTTAAAATATCAAGATGATTTGTGTACCATTGAACGGTTAGATAATTCCGTGGGTCATATTAAATCTAACTGCGTAATTTGCTGTTTGGGCTGTAATCGTAAAAGGAAATTAAACAAAACTATATTTGCTGATTAGCTAGGTTAAACTACAACCTGTAGTTACGATTTATTGGAATTTTGGTGCAGCTGGACTTTTATACAATTGACGTATTATACAATTGAATACCTACGTAGAAAGCATGCGTACAACAATTTTTAAAATCTTATATTTAAATGGACGATCATCAAAAGTATACTCGCCACAATAAACGAATCGACAAAATCTACAGAATCAAAACCAAACGTGAAAGATCACTTATGCTCGATCGTAGCCTCAGGCGAATCAAAAAAACCCTCGGCAAAGAATTCACCGTTAAAGATATCGAATCACTTTAATAGCCCTCAAGATCAGGGAAAACTTTTTATCTGTATGAAGTTAAATTTGGAAAAGAAATTGTAAACACTTTGGGAAAGGCGATTTTGAGTTTATACATGCATCTTTTAGGCATCACCACTCCTACTGAATTCCTTGGGTTTAATATCGATTTAAATTCCGAAGAAGATTTGACGAAAGATTTAAATAACGACCCAATTAAAAATCAAACGATGAGTCACTTTTTAAGCGAGTTATGTTATAAATACGGAGTTTATTTATCGCCACTGGTAGCTACGTTAATAAGGACTAAACACCTATCCATCAATAAAAATGCTGCTATTTTTAAAGATGTCGACAGAAGAACAAACGCCAGCAGCACCTGTGCCGTATCCGGCCAAGATTTGAGTTCAAACGGTAACAAAAGTTGAAAATCCCAAACGCATGGAGCATGGCAACAAATTGGCCGAGCATAATAAAAAGATCAAACAGAAACTCGCCAAAATGACGGCGCATGACCCGAGTGACTCGAGCTCAGAAAATGAAATTTATAAAACGGTTTCTGAAAATAGAAATTTAATATTGGGCGGATTAGCGATTTGCACGCTCGCACTTTTTTTAATATTTAAAAATAAGTCAACGCCCGTGCAAGTTCAAATTGATCAACCACCACCAAAAATTCAAACAACTGCACACGCACCTGAAATTTAGATATGGAATAAATTTTTAAAATGGTATATTTAAAATTATTATGTAATAAGAATGAGTAACGTAAAATCAGTCGACGTAAACGGAATCGCAAATACCATTTACCACGGTGCCGTAGTTTCAGCAATATCCATGGGTTACGCCATGCTATCGGATAAGCTTTTAAAAATCAAACCACCCGACCTAAATGAATTATCCACGGAAGACGCGTTAAAATTGACTGCCCTGTCAAGCGGCGCATTAGCCATGCAAGGATGTCTCGTGTCACAAGGCTAAAATGCTAGTCTAAACGCTAGTCTTCATTTAGTCTTCATAAGCTCAAATCGATTCGTTTACTTTTGTGATTCCTACAGGTGTCAACCTAGACTTTTTAGGAATAAAATCCCACCAGGCCAGAGCAACCGCGTCCGACTGCGAGATCCAATTGACCCTGTAAGTACTCGCATGGCCCGAGCCTTTCGGTGGATCTGCCCAGCCAAAGCCCATGAAAGTAGATCCCGCGTATTTGCCGTAGGTTAGGTGTAAGTCGTGCGCGTTGTAATTTTTACCGGGCACTGGAATATAACCGTTGTCGTAATAGTAAGCAGTGCCTAACCCGTTTGATAATGTATCGCACGTCTGTTTGTAGGACTTACTTAGATCAACTCCAAAGAACAGGCAAGTGTCTGTAAATTTCTGATGATCGTAATTATTGTGTAACGCGTCAAATACATCATCGCTGAGAATGGGCATCACGCAGCCGTAAAATATTTTTCTCACAGTGTAATACACGTGAAAGTTGAATAAAGTCGAGACATATGGATTAGAATCGGACAGTAGGTCAAGACCCACTCCACATGCACTTGTCGCACAATATACTGCAAAATTAAATTGATTTTGACAAAACGAAACGATTGACCGCTTTGTCCGTGGTGACTCTCGGTAATTGATATGTGTGAGTTAAATTGGGAAACTCGGCTGTAAACGAGTTATCTTTATTGACGACGATTGATAAATGACTAAAGTTGGCTCCCATTTATTTTATATGCCTTTAAAAGGAGGCTCTGTTGGTTCGCTCGCTTTGCTCACTTCTCGGTAAGCGGGTGGCTTATGTTTGTATTTGACCGACTTGATAAAGTTACTCGCCAAGTCTTTTCATAAGATCTTTTTTAAAAACTGTCACTCGCACATTGGCTAGTGCTTCTGCTCTTTCATTGACTTGCCGTTCGAATTCTTCTTTATTAGCCGATTTACTTTCTTTCAATTTTATAGACGTACTTGACCTAATTTTTTCTTTCATCTCGTTAAACTTCTTCAGCTGGGATAAAATGAGTGCAAATTCTTCTTGCAATATGTCGCCATCCTCGATCGCGTGAGAGACGTATTCCTTGATGATGTTTAATTTGGCATCGGCAAGCACGCAGATTTGATCGTGATTTTGTGCCACAGCTTGCGACTGGCTAATTTTAGCAAAGCGTAGGCACCAAATGCGCCGATAGCAATGCCTTCCATCACAAGTCCCACGGGACCAGTAATTACTCCTAAAATAGCGGGGATTCATATGGCTGCTGAGGTGGCGCCTATCGCTTCTACGCCATATTCCATGTAACCAAGCGCGGTAAGTATCCTTTTAATCTTTTTTGTAACTAGTTTCGCGCACGTCACATTCTCTTTGGATTCGGGATTTGATTTCTTCGATCTTTTGAAGGCGGTAGATTTTTGTCGTGTTCGATTCCGTTTGATACCCAGTTAAATCTGGATAAATATTTGACTCGTCATTTGTTGCCATCTTTTTAAAATATAAATTTTATATTTTTGTGGCCAATATATTCAGCTCAAATTAATCTGTTGTTTTCGTTCTGTAAGAGTCCAACATTTTCCGATCTTAGGTAAAAAGTTAACTCGTCGATATTTCTCCGCTGCAGTTTTCTTGGCGTTTCAAAATCGCTATGGAAATATCGATTTGTTGAAATCACTTGTGACAGATCAAATGATTGCCTGCTGTAAAAATTAAAGTTTGTGTCTAATTGGGGACAATAGATAAACGCGAGTTTGTCTGATTCCTATGTATAACCTCTTTCAAATAAAATGTTTTTTTAACCGAGATTACTTTATATATACCTAACACTGGCACTCCAAGAAAGCGAACCGTGAGTACCGTAATAGACATCTTTTGGGCAAATAAATGATTGTGCGTCACATCTCTCATTAATAAATTTCTCGATATTTGACAAGTCAATGGGTCGCTTTCGATGATCAAATAAAGAGGCATAGGGATCTATTTCAACGTACATTTGATGCTTGTCCGTGTAAGGCTTTTTAACGACGTATTCTATTCTATTAAGGTCATCGATGTCGCGACTGGCTTTATACCGTTTACGGTATTAGACGGGAGATTAGACCCTGTGTCAACTCGCAATTCGATAGACAGGTAAACGGCTAAATTTATGTTATCGAGTATGCCCGCAGTAGTTGGTCGTATTTGATAATAGAATTGATGCCCCACTAAAGTATCCGGCGTTGTATCTCGAGTGTCATGTTTATACAGCGGGTTTATGCCGTAACACGGTTCTATGGTCATTATCAATAGGCGTTTATTTTGACTGTTGTGATGATAGAAAATAGGCGAGCTGCATTGATTGCCTTCTTTAATCACAGGTTTTGATTAAATGACTCAGGTCAAAGGGACCACAGGTGACATTGGGATCACAGTTTTCAGCATTGAGACGCTCGTGGTCATATGAAACGATATATATTTGGGTTGACATGGTTATGATTTTCCCGGCTTTGTCATAAATTTTTCTCATTTTTATTCGGCCATGTCTATTAACTCAGGTGGGATTTCTATTTCAACGGCAACGTCATCATCAATTATTAACCCAATTTTGTATAAATTAAAATCGAGTTTAGTCGCTGGATCGGGCAGTGAATCATTTTCTCGAGCGTGTCACAGCTTTTTATGCTTGCCATTTACAAGCACCACGTGATTCATTCCTTCCAACTCGATACAATTTACGCAGCAGGTGCAAGCAGTGCAACCAAAACACTCTATATAATTACTGCACTCGTAACAGCCTTCGCAACCGTTCAAGGCATTTGAATTTTGACAGTCGTATGAATTTAAACAATATACGCAATTTATGCACCTGCCGCAATCGTCGCAAGTGGAGCAATTATTACATCTAGCGCAGTTGGTACATTTGTGGCATTCCCGGCCCGGTCCACATGTGGATTGGGTTTTCAGTCCCTACCTGACTCGGTGGGTTTTACCCAGAACATTGCTCTGGGGTTTTCCTCCCACCTCTAAAACTGTAACTGCTTCTTACTGTGTCCTCTTTACTGATGTTGGTGAATATGGGTTGTTTGGCAGCTGCCCGAGGCACCCTTGTATGCCATTGGCTCAACTATGTTTAAATGTATTCATTGTTCCATGCTTAATGTCTGCATTGTACAGCGCATTTGAACATATCTATATGAAATTTGCGCTTTGTAAATGAATAAACTATTATTATTATTATTAATAATATTATTATTATTGTTTATCATGGTTTTTATAATTTTTTATTTCTATTTGGCTTGTAAACTTGTTTGCCGGTCTTGGTCTTTCTCAGTAAACAAATGGGGTGCCTTTGGTTTTGCACGTCTAGTTTTGCCTGCTCGATTAAATCTCGTTGCAATTCATGGCCGTTGATGATTAACCGTGTCTCGTGAGCGGCGACTAATTTAGCATATTCAAATTTAGTGACTAAAGTTAGAGTCATTTGATTTTATAAAATCAGAGAAAAATTTTTTAGGTTTTTCCCGGCACTTCCAGTTCCCTGTTTGTGTGTGTTTGGGGAAATCGTGCCAGTTGGGGGTCGCATAGAGGTCACGCCGGTTGGGTCAAGAGTTTTGGGGGAGTCCCTTTTTTGAGTCACGAGTGCTGGTTTGGAAAGTCCCTTCTGATCTGGGAAGTGGGAAAAGGGTACTGATCTCAAACCGGCTCGT